TTTGAATTGCTTCCACATAAATATCCTCTAACCACTTGTTCCAAAATGTGAACAAAGTGTAATGTTTCAAAAGCTGGTAACTGTGTTTCACCAAGACCTACATGGTTCTGTAATTTTATTAGCCATTGAGGTAATGGAAAGGACCATTCACTTGGAGATATTGTAACAAAAAAAGTTGGTAGTCCAAATTGTCTAACAGAGTCTAATAAGCAAAGATGTTGCCATTTCCAAAATTGTGGACTGAAAGACTTTCCATCCCATCCAGGGCTCTTGCAGGTGAGCATAATTTTCTTTGTGCTGTTGTTACTGCTCCAGAAACGGTTTTGAAAAGCCACAAATCATAGTGGAATTGCAAAGTTCAAAATTCGTCCCATAATCAGTTATTGGACTAAACACGTTTTTCATAAAAGCAACTTTAGTACTATTTCTATTTTCCTTGCCAGATAACGTGGTCTCACATAAATCCTTCCTAACATAAAGATGTGGCCACAGTGCACATTCAATTGCAAAGTTTTGTTGGGAGTCATACATGTTGAACTTTGAATTCTTATTAATTTCTTCTTTCCTCAAAGTTACAAATTGTCGATAAGATGTATTTTCATTTGACATTAAATATCTGTAGGCACAAAGCAATCTGCTCTTTTTATGCCATCAGTTTCTTTCTCGATTTTGGTTAATATGTCTTCTTTTGCCCATGTTAATCTTGAAAAATTAGTTTTCTGCCTGTATCCATTTTGCATTCGCTTATAATGTCCAAGATGAATTTCAAAAGGCCGAAGTGTGTAAATGTCACTTTGTGTAAGTTGTTTCAACACTTCATCTATTGTGTTATAGAAAGGGTTGGTATATATTGTCTCTGAACACTTGCATGTCTTATAACACTTAAGAGGGGGTTGTCTTATGTAATTTGGAAGTAACTTTTGGCCATATAGCACATGACATTTCTCACAAAATGTCCAAGACAAATGTCTCATCCAAAATTGCAAATTGTTACTTATATTTTCTCCACCAAATGTTGATGTTGTTGATGATTCAAGACAGTGTTTGTATTTTTCAGAAAACATGGCCTTATCCTTTTCTTTACGATCATGCCTACTATTACGGTCATTCTCTAACATATGCTTTCTTTCTTTAAAATTTTCGTTTTGTAAAACAGTGAATAATTGACGTTTTTTCCAAAAGTCATTACTTAAAGTTTCATTCCACTTTGCCATTTCTAATTTTTAAATAAATTAATTATCCATGGAAATAAATGAAAACAAATCTTTTTATACAGAAAAGGAAGTTAATTTACTTTCTGAAGATTGTACTCACACTTATATGACCTTGTGTTGATAAAAATTTGAAGAAAATCCTTTCACAAATATGTAAATGAAATCAAATTTTTGTAAATGTGCGAACACAACGATTATGAAAAGTCAAGTAAAAATAATTTTTCATGTACAACAAGTACATACTATAGCTTCTAAAGAGAGTACGTACTCTTAAATGACTTTTGTAAAAGAAAATTTGAAAGAAATCCGTTAAAAAATATGGAAATGTTTGTTATATCTTAAGTAAACGCAAACGGTGTTATACTTGCAAAGCCAACAATTCGTAAAAGTGAAATAAAACCAGTTTTTAGCAGAAAAGAAGATACTATAGATTATAAAGAAACTACTCACTCCAAACTGTCCTAACTGTCCAAATCATACCATTACACCTGGTAAACTGAAACAATCCGTATATTTGTAAAATTCGCGATCTCCAAATTTTTTTAAAAAAAGAGTTTATTGCATAGAAAAACTACAAATTATACCTTCTAACGAAACTACTTACACTGATCTTACTTTCTTTAAAGAATATTTGAAGAAAATCCCTTCAAAATTGTCCAAATTATACCAATACACCTGGTAAACTGAAACAATGCGTATATTTGTAAAATTAGCGATCTACAAATTTTTAAAAAAAAATAGTTTATTGCACCTAAAAACCAGAAATTATAATTTTAATAGAAACTACCTACCCTGATCTCACTTTCTTTAAAAAAACATTTAAAGAAAACCTGTTGAAAATTGTCCAAATTAGACCAATGCAGCTGGTAAACTGAAACAATCCGTATATTTCTAAATATGGCGATCTCTAAATTTTAAAAAAAAATACTTTATTTCTTAGAAAAACCAAAACTTATACTTCGAAAAGAAAGTACTTACACTTATCTCACTTTATTTTAAAAAAACTTGGACAAAATCCCTTGAAAATTGTCGAAATTATGCTGAAATATCCACTGCACTCAAAATATCGTAACTTTTCTTGTTGTGATACGCGCGATGTGAAAATCTTTCAAAATTACATTATCTGTGTAAGGTAATAAACATACTATAACAAAGCAACAATTCAAGCAATTAATATGAAATTTGATAATGTTAAAGTATGGTTATTCATAAAAAAAGCGAACTTATTTACAAATAACGTACTTTAAATTAAAGTAGAAAAAACTGGACTCTGATTTAGTTAAAATTTGTATAAAGAATATATGCGATTTCATAATGCACTGATGGAATACAAAGCTGCCCTGAAAAGCAAACAACAGAAGATAACAAAACTCCCTTTTGGGAAGTAAGTTGTACTTTAGCCATGTACATTCATGCCAAGTTTCATCCAATAAAAAACAAATGTACCTTAGTAACGAAATATGCTGTTTTTGATATTTACGTAATACAATTTATAGTAAAAATAGTGAAAGTAAAGCAGTCATAAAAACCAAACGACTGCAAATATCAAAATTTCCTTTTGGGAAATAAGTTGTACGTTAGATATGTACATGTATGGAAAAAGTTTATTGAATTCAAAAAAAATCTACCATACTAACAAACCATTCCGTTTTTGCAAATATGCATAATACAATTTATAGTAAAAATAACAAAGTGAAGCAGCCATAAAAACCACGCCAGAGCAGATATGAAAATTTCCTTTCGTGAAATTACTTGTACCTTAGAGATATAAATTATTGTCAAGTTTCATTTAATTTAAAAAAATTCTACTATAGTAACCAATTTTCGAAGCTACCATCTGTTGGATTAGGATTGAACGCCTCTAAATCAGAATCCGTGCTAGAACGCAACGATTCCTTTCTCTGGACGACTTAAGCGAACTAGAATAGAGATGCTTGTCATCTCCTGCGTCACAATGTGCCTACGGTGCGGACTATGCACCAAAACACTGCATTGATCAAAATCTAAATTTTCCAGAGCTAAATCCTTTGCAAACGACTTAAATAAAGAACGGGGTATTGTAAGCAGTAGAGTAGCCTTGTGCTACGATCTGCTGAGATTAAGCCCTTGTTCTAAGATTTGTTACTTTTTTTAAAGTGTTTAACATCCTTGTTTGCATGTTGGGAATGATAGTTGGCCTTTTTTATAACATAGGTAGGTCTTGTGTTGTTTACCTACTAAGCCTTCAAAGTGTTGGGGAAAGGGAACTGTATTATCTTCCAAGTATTAAGGTGGCCATGATAGCACCTGCTGAAAAACGAAGTGATATGTAGTTGTTACAAATCAACATGCCCTTTGTAACCACGACACATGTTTGACCATGATAAAATCTTCAAAGTAACACACATTATTATGTGTATGACATGTGTAAACATACATAACTTGGAACACAGGCTGTACGGTTATACATTGTATTGACTCTTTTGTACAATCAGCAGAGTGCTCAAATCTAAAAAGACAAGCTTTTCCATAATGCAAAAATGGTAAACGCCATAATATGAGAGCCTGTACACATACCAAGAGTGCTCAAACTGCACATGAACAGTGTGATGATATGTACATCGGCGTTGTGTTAAACAGTGATAGAACCTTCTCATAAGAATGATGTTTGAGTGCTATTGCTGCATTCTGCACGATTTATGCAACCAGCTAACATTCTTAGCGGATCAACTGACATTACGTTTAAAACACATAATTTCAGATTTTTTGTTAGACAAAATCTATATGTCATGGTTAACCACAGACACCTCTCTAAGAGGAGAAAATTGAGTAACGGTGTAGGATCGAGATGCATAGAGCTTAGGTTATGCTAATTATTATGCTAATTATTATGAAAAACAAAAAGGGACCCGTATAAAAGCATGGTTCTTGGGGTCTTTTGAGATTGAGCACAATTCATGTATAGTGGTGTATTTTTTGTACATGGATGTTTATATTTAGTGGCCAAATTACGAGGTAACGATGATTACGGCTTTAGGCCTGCTTGTCGGTTATGTTAATATCTATACTCTGTCGTTTAGAACCGTAAGTTTGACGCATTGCATTGAAATAAAGATTTATCTGTATACCGGTCGTCGTTTTAATAGTAGTTTATGTACGAGTATCTTGCTGGTCACATAAGCCTGGAATTGTTGAAGCTTATATAGTTCTCGTAATTGTTGTTTAATCGATCAGCAATGACTCAGAAACGAAAGGGTCAAGGTAAAAGTCGAAAATTAAAGGCTTATCAAAACGCGTACTTCAGCCGTCTGGCGAACAGTTAAGTCCTCCAGGTCAAGTGAGTCGAGCTAAATCTGGAGAATTCGCTTAACAATACGAATCAAGACATGATTGAATCCGCTGAAGATGACGGTAGCGAGCGAGCTGAAAGCGGACCGAACGTCGTCGTACAAAACAAGCAAGTTGTCGTTTCTGACGAGGCTTCGACGAGTTTGGGTTCGCCGGAGCGAGTAGCAGACGAACAGGAACAGGAGCTTGAACTTGGTCTAAGTCAGGTCGCTTCATTTTGAAGGATAATTCGGTTTTATCGCCTCTTGCTCCTGTATTCCAGTCAATTCTAATATCGGTAAACAAGCAGCTTCACGTGAACGTCACGCGGACTGCTCGTGCGTGGGAAAAGCCGACGCAAACAACAAATTTTGAAGACAACGGGGCTGGAGTAACGAGCGCGCTTGATTCAAAATGGGCAGAACGGTTTCGTGAACTTGAAGAATTGGAAATTAATAGAAGAGAGAGCTGAACAAGCAGATGAGGGAGGCAAGGCTTAAACTAGAGAAAGAAATGCATCAGGCGAGAATTGAGCATGAGATGGCTATGAAGAAACGGGAAATACAACGACGTCGAGATGAGCTTCGGAAGCTTGAAGAAGAAGTTTTTGGTAATGATATTGAACATCAACTGTCGGACAGGGAAAGTAGTAGTAACGCTCGTGAACCAGATAAAAACCCAGTCCAGCAACCTTCAACCCCAATCGACAGAAGCAGTTTAAGTCAGCGCTTGGCGATACCTCCTACCGGAAATTGTGTACCCCAAGAAAGTATAATAACCAGTGGAACTGGATGTCAAACTCAGCAAAGCTTGCAACGAGACAATTCGTCGCAGTTACAATATCTATTAGAGAAGCAGCAGATTACGATGGACGAAGTAGTGAAGGGATTAAGAATGCCTCAAAGGAAATACATGAGTTTTGATGGCGAACCTCGCAACTTTCCGTTGTTCATGAAGAATTTTGAAGTGAATGTCGAGAGTAAAGAAAGTAATGATGCAGATCGACTGAATTACCTTATTCAGTATTGTAAAGGAACAGCAAGACAAGCGATAGAGCATTGCATCATTATGCCTCCGGATCAAGGATACAAGCGTGCTAAGGAAATCCTGAGAAAAAACTTTGGTCGAAATCACATCGTAACCCAAGCATTCCTTGAGAAAGTCTTGAATGGACCGCCAATTAGAGTAAACGAAGCCGAGAAATTGTCGCAGCTAGCAAGAGATATGGAAACGTGTCTCCTTGGTTCTATTCAGTTAGGAAATCGGGCAAGTATCAATTCGATGGACACTCTGGGAAGGGTAGTTAGCCGCCTTCCAATGCATCTCAAGTCAAAATGGGCTGATAAAGCAAGCCATATGTACGACAATCACATCACACCAGATTTCTCTCATTTAACTGAATTCATACAATCCCGCGCAGCCGTGGCTAGTACGTACTTTGGTCAAATGATTACCTCGAAAAATGAAACCCGAAAGGATGGAACTGACAGATTGAAGAAGAAATCCTTCTTGTTTAGTGGGAATAGCACAAACTTAGCAACTCACAGCCAGAGAATATTTGACAGTAGTGAATCAAAGGAAGAAATTTATCCTGCGTACTATGCAAAGGCACACACCATCTTGAACGCTGTCACAAGTTCAGGGCTCAAAATCTTCAGCAACGACAAGACCTAGTAAAGACGCACAAAGTTTGTCATGCTTGCTTGAGCCCAGGACATTTCGTGAAAGACTGCAGAGGTGCCCGCATATGCGGTGTTGAAGGTTGTCAGAGAAGGCACCATCCTTTGTTACACTCATCCGAAATAAAGGCTAAGGATTCTAAATCAAGTGAAAGGAGTAATCCAAATCCTGAACCATCTGAAAGCGACAGCCAATCCAAAGCACTCCCAACGTCTGGAGTTGGCGCGACAAATTCATCATATAGCAGTTGTCGTATAGGTTTGCAAGTTATTCCAGTTAAGGTCAGCGCACCCTATGGTAGTCGTGTGATAGAAACTTATGCGTTCTTAGACAGCGGCTCCAACACAACCATGTGCTTAACCAGTTTAGCTGAAGATCTTGGAGCCGATTGCTCACCCATCGAATTCACGTTAGCGACTGTTTCAGGCAGCCACAAAAGTAAGGGTCAACAGTTATCTCTCGATGTGGTTGGAGTATCCACGGGCAAAGGTGTCAGACTAGATAAAGTTTGGACGACCAACACTCTTCCTGTTGCTCTAGAAAGTATTCCCACGAACACTGATGTAAAGGGTGGTCTCACCTTAAAGGCGTTAATCTAACCGATTTAGTGGATAAGAAAGTCACTATCCTTATTGGAAGTGACGTTCCCGAAGCTCTTTGCCCCCTTGAAGTGCGTTCTGGGAAAAGAAATCAACCCTACGCAATACGGACAATCCTCGGTTGGACGGTGATGGGACCTCTGAAGGAAAACCTTATCAAGAAGCTCAGATGAACTTCATTCATGTTGATCAAGCTCTTGGGTGTATGGAAAGGGAAGATGGTATGAGTTCCATTCGTCAGCAATTGCAAAATCTCTACAATTCAGAGTTTAGCGAGTCGGCTGCTGACGTTAAAGAATGTCTGTCGGTCGAGGATCGTCGCGCAAAGGCAATAATGGATAGAACTGTCAAGCTAGAAAATCATCAATATGAAATTGGTCTTCCTTGGAAATACGATGACCCACTCTCCCGTACAATAAGTCTATGGCTGAAAGGAGACTTGCTTATTTGAAGAAACGACTTGAGAGGGACCCCATACTTCACGCAAATTATAAGGCAACGATGAAGGAATACATCTCAAAAGGGCACGCTAAAGTAGTTCAAGTGGATAAACAAAATACACAGGACAAGTCACTCAAAAAACTGGTTTGGTATCTGCCTCATCACCCTGTGACACACCCGCAAAAACCAGAAAAGACAAGAATCGTTTTTGACTGTGCTGCGAAGTTCCACAACGCATCCCTAAATAATCAGCTTCTTCAAGGACCAGATTATACCAATTCATTAGTTGGTGTATTGTTGCGGTTCAGGCAGGAAAAGATAGCGGTAATGGCAGATATTGAGAAGATGTTCCATCAGGTGAAGGTTAAGCCAGAAGACTGTAATGCACTGAGATTTCTATGGTGGCCAGAGGGAGATCTATCCAAAGAACCAGTAGAGCATCAAATGACTGTTCATTTATTCGGAGCAACCTCTTCCCCAAGTTGTTGTTCTTACGCGTTAAAAGAACAGCTTCAGATAATCGGGAAGAATTCAGCAAACAAGTTGTCGACACAGTTGATCGTAACTTTTATGTAGATGACTGTCTCAAGTCTTTACCAGAAAGGAAAGAAGCAATGAAGTTGGTAGACGAACTACCAGTTTTGCTGTCTCGCGGTGGATTCCATCTCACAAAGTGGGTGTCAAATGATCGAGAAGTCTTATCTCACGTACCTAACAAAGAAAGAGCGCCATGCGTCAGCCTTCAGTTGGAGAAGTTGCCGATGGAGAAAGCATTGGGCGTTCAGTGGAATACGGAAAGGGACACGTTGGGATTCCGGGGAAGCAAATTGAAAGCAGAGTCAAGAAGAGGGATTCTATCGTTCATAGCTTCGGTCTACGATCCCCTTGGTCTAGTCGCTCCTGTCGTTTTACCAGCCAAACGCATAATGCAAAACCTGTGTCGAGTAAATCACGGCTGGGACGAAGATCTCCCAATCGAGACAAGCGAAATATGGCATGACTGGCAAAGCGAATTCCATTCCCTTGTGAAATTAGAAATACCTCGATGCTATAAACCGCACGAATTTAACAAGACAAGGAATGCGGAACTCCACTATTTTGCTGACGCATCGACTGAAGGATATGGGGTAGCAACGTACCTTCGGCTGGAAGATACCCAAGGAAGGATTCATTGTACCTTAGTTATGGGCAAATCAAGAGTTGCACCTCTTAAAACAGTCACGGTACCCAGATTGGAACTAACCGCTGCAACATTGGCCGTGAAGCTGAATAAACAAATTTGTGATGAGTTGGATCTGTCAATAAGTCAAATTGTTTTCTGGAGCGATTCAATGATAGTGCTGCGTTACATTAAGAGCGAGAACAAAAGGTTTCAAACCTTTGTAGCGAATCGATTACAAGTTATTCACGATGCTTCTACTCCGAATCAATGGAGACATGTGCCAACCAAGCTCAACCCAGCCGACCTTGCATCAAGAGGTATAAGTCTTGGTCGCGCAACAGGCCAAGACCAACAGGACTTGCAGTTTTGGTTGAACGGACCCGATTTCCTTTGGAAAGATCCCAAATTATGGCCAACGCAGCTAGATGACATACCAGACGTAGAAGACACAGATGTGGAAGTAAAGAAACCTAAAGCAAGAGTTGGTGCCGTCATCAACTCAAAGGATGCACCCTGATTCGCTAATACAACTTATCCATCGAACATCCGAATGGTACAGATTGCAGAAGTCGGTTGCATGGCTGCTAAGATTCAAACAGTACATCTTAAGCCGTTATCCAAACGGTCCAGGATTAGAAGTACAACGTGGTCCTCTAAAGGTAAAAGAGATTGAATCGGCAACCCAGGAAATAATTAAACTTACCCAACGAAGTTCATCTATCAACGAGAAAACTATGAGAGATAGCTAAACCTGTCCAGTCATCGCCGGAGGAATTGTGAGAGTTGGTGGACGTTTGGATAAATCATCGCTGCCGGAAGAATCTAAACATCCCGCAATTCTTGATTCCAGTCATCACGTTACAAAGCTCATTGTCCGGTATTACCATGCAAAGGAAGGTCACGCTGGAACCAGTCAAACTCTAGCAGCAATACGGCAACGCTTCTGGATAATAAAGGGACCTAGCACTGTGAAGAGTATAGTCAATAATTGTGTTCCGTGTCGTCGCCGAAACCAGTCTCCAGGGAAGCAGATAATGGCCCCACTGCCAAAAGCTCGTGTGAAATCTGGTGAGTACCCGTTTTCATCTGTGGGAGTCGATTATTTTGGACCTCTTAAAGTCAAATATAAAGAGGAACTGAAAAACGATATGGCTGTGTATTCACTTGCTTAGCCATAAGGGCCATACACATTGAGATTGCACATGACCTATCGACAGATTCCTTCATTCAAGCCGTATGTAGGTTCGTCAGTCGACGCGGACCGCCGAATGAGTTGTTCAGTGACAACGGGACGAATTTTAGAGGAGCGGAATCTGAAGTTAAGCAAATGTTGCAAAATTGGAATCAAGCTAGAATATTAGATCGTCTAAGAAAAGGGAATTCAATGGCATTTCTCTGCTCGAAGCAAGCCATAGCGGGGAGTTTGGGAGCGCATGATCAGAACAATCAGGAAGCAAATGCGTGTTATAATAGGAGACCGAGTTGTTGATGATGAAACACTTACAGTAATGTGCGAAGTCGAGAAAATAGTGAATGATCGGCCTCTTGTACGGCAGTGTGATGACCCTCGAGATTTATCAACTCTTACACCAAACACTCTACTCCTGCGTTATCGAAACATAAGCACAAGTGCAAGTTCTTCACCTACGGCAAATAACCCCCGAGAAATATGGAAGCTGAAGCTTATATAGTTCTCGTAATTGTTGTTTAATCGTTGAAGCTTATATAGTTCTCGTAATTGTTGTTTAATCGATCAGCAATGACTCAGAAACGAAAGGGTCAAGGTAAAAAGTCGAAAATTAAAGGCTTATCAAAACGCGTACTTCAGCCGTCTGGCGAACAGTTAAGTCCTCCAGGTCAAGTGAGTCGAGCGAATTGTTGAAGCTTATAAACGGTGACTATCAGAAGGCCTCTCCGAGAGTGGAAAAATGAGTCACGGTGACCATCAGAAGGCCTCTCCGAAAGGGGATAAATGAGTCATGGTGACCATCAGAAAGCCTCTCTGAGAGGGAGAAATAAGTCACGGTGACCATCAGAAGGCCTCTCTGAGAGGGGAAAAATGAGTCACCGTGACCATCAGTAGGCGTCTCGAAAGGGGAAAAATGAGTCACGGTGACCATCAGAAGGTATCTCCGAAAGGGGAAAATGAGTCGGTGACCATCAGAAGGCCTCGAAAGGAAAACCATCAGAAGGCATCGAAAGGGGAAAATGAGTCAAGTGACCATCAGAAGGAAAAAAGTCACGGTGACCATCAGAAGGCCGAAAGGGGAAAAAATAACAGTGACCATCAGAAACCGAAAGGGAAAATGAGTAACGGTGACCATCAGAAGGCCTCAAGAGGGAAAATGAGTCACGGTGACCATCAGAAGGCCTCCAAAGGGAAAATGAGTCACGGTGACCATCAGAAAAAAAGGGGTAACGGTGACCATCAGAAGGAGGGGAAATGAGTAACGGTGACCATCAGAAGGCCTCTGAGGGGAAAATGAGTCACGGTGACCATCAGAAGGCCTCTCTGAGAGGGGAAAATGAGTCACGGTGACAATCAGAAGGCCTCTCCGAGAGGGAAAAATGAGTCACGGTGACCATCAGAAGGCCTCTCCGAAAGGGGAAAAATGAGTCACGGTGACCATCAGAAGGCCTCTCCGAAAGGGGAAAAATGAGTCACGGTGACCTTTCTGTGTCTATCCCTCCAAGTGTTGGGAAAAAGGAATTGCTTTTTTGGTATATAAAGTGAGGTGAGTATGCTTCACAAAATAAGTACAAATGCGAAACTTAGTTTGTGCGACGTGATGATTAAGCAGTCAGTCTAATGTAGATTTGGTCTTGCTCTTTCATTCCTTTCCTGCAAAATTGTGAAAAAACTTTATCGCAGATGAGGTGATTCACTTGGTTTGTGAGTGTTCTACATTCTTTCCTATGGACACTGATATGTACTAAACTAATGTTGCGTATGGAAGGAGGTAATTCATCATGCTTCCTTCACAAACTTGCATTTGTTGTAAACATACTGCACATTGAACCATTATGGGTATGTGTTCTTGTCAATGCTTGCATCAATTGCAATGAGAGACTTTGAAAGACGTGGCAAATAGATGGATACTTTCTCTTTGTTTCGTTGAGCAATCCCATGTGAGAGAAACATAAACGAAAACAGGTTCTAGCATATATGCTGTTCCTAAGTTTATCTCAGCAATGGAAGTTAACTGGTTGATCCTGCCAGTATCATATGCTTGTCTCAAAGATTAAGCCATGCATGTCTAAGTATAAGCACTTGTACTGTGAAACTGCAAATGGCTCATTAAATCAGTTATCATTTATTTGATTGTACCACTTACTACTTGGATAACCGTAGTAATTCTAGAGCTAATACATGCGAAAAGTCCCGACTTTTGCAGAAGGGATGTATTTATTAGATTAAAAACCAATGCGGCTTCACGGCCGCACAACCCATTGGTGATTCATGGTAACTATTCGAATCGCATGGCCTTTTAACTTTGTGCCGGCAATGCGTCATTCAAATTTCTGCCCTATCAACTGTCGATGGTAAGGTAGTGTCTTACCATGGTTGCAACGGGTGACAGAGAGTTGGGGTACGATTCCGGAGAGGGAGACTGAGAAACGGCTACCACATCCAAGGAAGGAAGCAGGCGCGCAAATTACCCAATCCTGACGTGGTGAGGTAGTGACAAAAATAGCAATACAAGGCTTTTTTGTAGTCTTGTAATTGGAATGAGTACAATTTAAATCTCTTAACGAGGACCAATTGGAGGGCAAGTCTGGTGCCAGCAGCTGCGGTAATTCCAGCTCCAATAGCGTATTGTAAAGTTGTTGCAGTTAAAAAGCTCGTAGTTGGATTTTCGGGCTCGACGATGACGGTCTGCCACAAGGTATGCTACTGTCGGCGTTGGCCTTCTTCGCGCAGATTTCGCGTGCTCTTAAATGAGTGTGTGTTGGAAACGCGACGTTTACTTTGAAAAAATTAGAGTGTTCAAAGCAGGCTTTTGCTTGAATACATAAGCATGGAATAATGGAATAGGACTTTGGTTCTATTTTCCGTTGGTTTCTGGAACCGAAGTAATGATTAATAGGGACAGTTGGGGGCATTCGTATTTCGTTGTCAGAGGTGAAATTCTTGGATTTACGAAAGACGAACTAATGCGAAAGCATTTGCCAAGAATGTTTTCATTAATCAAGAACGAAAGTTAGAGGATCGAAGACGATCAGATACCGTCCTAGACGATGGCAACGAGTTGCTCCTTCACCGAAAGGTGTGGGTAATCTTTTGAATCACCGTCGTGCTGGGGATAGATCATTGTAATTCTTGATCTTGAACGAGGAATTCCTAGTAAGCGCGAGTCATCAGCTCGCGTTGATTACGTCCCTGCCCTTTGTACACACCGCCCGTCGCTACTACCGATTGAATGGTTTAGTGAGGCCTCCGGATTGGCACTGTCAGATGAGTTCCGGCTCATCCGACGGACGTCAAGAAGTTGGTCAAACTTGATCATTTAGAGGAAGTAAAAGTCGTAACAAGGTTTCCGTAGGTGAACCTGCGGAAGGATCATCACTGTACAATAACATTTCGCTTGTGTTAGGTTGCTTATATTTACATTCACAATCGAAGAATTCTGTTAACCTTATAACTAAATGGGAGGTGGACATTTCTAAGTCCTTAAATGGGTGGATGGAAGCAAATTGTGTTGTGCAAACTCAAATAATATTCCCGAACCGGGTTAATATTCCTGAACCAGAACAGGGATACTGCGACCTAGTGGCAGAAGCGGCAACGCAACCGAAATCGGAGACGTCGGCGAGAGCCCCGCGAAGTGTTCCCTTTTCTTTTTAACGGACAACGTTACCCTGAAATCGGTTTACCGGAGATAGGGTTTCACGTCCGGTAAAGCCCCACACTTCTTGTGGGGTCCGGTGCGCTTTTGACGGCCCTTGAAAATCCGAGGGAATGGTTCCATTTTCTTGTCTGGTCGTACTCATAACCATATCAGGTCTCCAACGTGAGCAGCCTCTAGTTGATAGAACAATGTAGGTAAGTGAAGTCGGCAAAATATCCATGTCAACAGAGTGGTAAAGCAGGGTGATCTGTTGTCACCTTTTCTTTTTAATGCAGTCATAGACTGGGCAATTTCTTCATTGGATAACCACCTGGGATTCTAGTTCGGCAATATTCGAATTAACAACCTCGGATATGCCGACGACATCGTGCTGCTTGGTGAGAAACCAAATGAATGGCCTCCGGAAACAACTTGGGAGGTTGGGGTCTCATTTTGCAGCAGGTGGACTCATCATCAGTGCTGGGAATGAGGGAAAATCTGCCTCTCTCAGCATTGTTATCGATGGGAAAGCCAAGCGATGGGTCGTACACCGGACTCCATTCCTGGCGACCAACAGCGGTCTTATTCCATCATTGACCGCAACGGGGAGTACCGATACTTGGTTATAATGATGAGTGCAAGTGGAGCTAGACTCCGAAAAGACTTGAGATCCGACCTGGTGGGGGGA